TCAGTGAGACAAAAGGACTTACATCTAGAAGCTCAAAACATACTAAAGCACATGCATACAGAAGCTCATGCACGTGTGGTGTGTGTGTGTGTGTGTGTGTGTGTGTGTGTGTGTGTGTGTGTGTTTGACATGTTAATCTATGGGGAATGCTGATTCTCCAGTTGATGAGAGAAAATTTAACCAATGGTATTATATGCAGAAGCAGAGAACTCAGGGACAAAGGCCATAGAATACACATTCCTCAGACTCAGGTAACAGAGGAAACCAATATCAGTCACAATGCTTGTCTTCTTGGTGACCTCTGAAATCCCCCTACAGTGAGAGTTGCCGAACTCTAAGCATGTTCTGGTCATATCCGGACCTCTGCACTCTGAGACAGGACTATCACATGGCTAAGTAGCACAGCTGCCAAAGGAACACCCTGGAATAAGCAGAACCTCCTACAACGCCTGCCTGAGAAAATGTGACGCTTTCAGATGCAGTCATTCTAAAAAGCTTCCATTGTTGACCATTTCCCTACTTGGGATATGACTCCTAGACTCAAAATATTTTCTCAAGATGTGAAGCAGTCTCTAAAAAATAAAAATAACTCAAAGCATGTTTGAATAACATACTGGGGGAGACAAGTCTTGGTCAGACTACCAGTCTCCGTGGAAAGGTATTTGAATTCCACGAGCACTTCACTTCACAATCCTGAGTCCTATCATGAAGAAGGTTTGACAGTTGTCCTGCAGGTGACTGTTAGTTCACAAAGCCTGGGCGTAGCCACTTGGGCTCAACTGCAGTGACCTCTTTGTGCTCAGCTCACCCTGGAGTCATCTATATCTCTTAGTGTCAGAGATGTAAGTTCCAGTCATGCTAGACTGTTTAACTTACTGCAGTCATTACTGTATAAATCCTATCCTATTGCTTTAACTAGCATCTGGTTTAACTGTCCACCGAGGGGCCTTAGATCATGTGTGGAGATGCACAGGACCTGGAATTCCACATGCAAACTGGAAGCAGTTATACCAGGTCCAGCTCTCCTGAACCTCCGGCTCCTTTCCATGTCTGGACATCCTTCTGAGAAAGGCACAATTAATATCTCTATGGGTCAATTCAGGACCCCTTAATAGGAAGACAGAGTAGTCATGAGATACATGACAAGGTCTTTGAGGCCTGAACCCTCCAGGAGATATTTGAACCATCCTGGAGAAGATTTTCATGGCAGTGTCTACTCAGGACAATGAGTTCAACTTCTCTGAACTCAGAGAAGAGGTAGTAAACACGGAATCCTTGAATGACTTTGGGTGGAAGAGTGTGTCTGCATGATGCCTGTACTTTCTTACCAGTGGAAGAAGCCAACCAAACTCTTGCTTGTTGATGCCCACCATGTAGGGCACAGTTTTGAAGTTCTTCTCAGCCAGGATCTCTTCTGGAGACTTCGGCAGAAACGATCCATCAACCACAGTAGGGAGGAAGGGGCAGCTCTAGGGGAGAGAACAATGCAATATCTGTGATTACTTCTCCCAGAGAATGCTTACGTCCCTACCTTTGTGAATGCAAGGCCAATACCCAGTCTCTGGCGGCTATGAGCAGCAGTCACAGAGACTTGGAGTCCTGACGAGGGGGCTGAGACACGAGGGCAAAGCTCCAACTGGAACTCGTAATAATGATGCGGAGGGGTGCACATAGCATCTCCATTTAAATTAAAATATACTTGATATGAGAATAACTGAGGTTTATTTACACATAAATACATGTGTATACATATAGATATTACACAAATATGGAGATATTGCTCTTCATAGCAACTATGTCTTCAAAGCTGCAGTAAATATAAAATTAGCAAATACGGAGTCTCTGCTCCAAGGAGAAATCTAGAGTTAGAATTCTTGAACCCTAGGAGCCTCTGGTTACAAAGTTTCCATTAGTTCTTATTTGTGTGGGAGTTCCTGTTTATAAATGCATTATGCTGTTTAGGTTTATGAATGCATGCAACATTAATAAAATGCAATGACGAGGAAAGGTTTAACATTTTCCTGATCTGAGTAACTCAACTGTAAATTCCTTTTGGCTTCAGTCTTACAAGCATGCTTTCCATTATGTTTTTTAAAAGAATTCATCATCATGAGCTGGGCTTAGAGGCCCATGCCTGAAATGCTAACACTCAGGGGCCTGAGGCAGGAGGATTGCTATGATTTTGAAGTGAGCCTGAGCTACATTCTGAATTCCAGATTAGCCTGGGCTAGAGACTGAGACATTATCTCCAAAAAGAAGTATAGAATGAGGGGAGGAGAAAGAAAGAAAAGCCAAACCTTCAGAACAAAACAAAAGTTAACCAGCTCCCGTGTGTGCAGACAGCTGCCTCTCCATCCCGCCCAGCTTTATCCACACTGTACACAGTGCAGTTCTTCCCCACAGCAAGACAAACAGATGCACTTCCTTCCTCTTCAGGAGATGCTGAGCTGTTAACTAAGGCTCTCACCGTCTGTCAGCTTCATTTTCCTCTTAAATCTGAACACATGACATCTCTTCTTTTCCCCTGCTCTCACATTCCAAAACTGAAATGGAAGGTGCCACAGACAGTGGAAGGTTCTAATGGAGCCTCCCCCCAGCAGTGCCATTTTGGAAGAATGAAATGTAAACAAGAATGGGGAATCTAGCGGGGGGAGGGGGATACTGTTGACAGGGAGCACTGCAGTAGGAATCAGGCAGGACTTCACTCTTGTCCTCATATTACCCTGAAAAATGATTTTTCCCTCGTAGGGCATCGGCAGGATACACACAAGGAATCCACCCAGGAAAACTCTCCATTTATAGTTCAACATGGAGTAACACTAAGAAGATTAAAAACTGACAGTTCAGAGGGCAAAGGGCCTTACCTCTCTGGGGTCTTCAAATAAATTGACCTTAAAAGGTTTCTGTGAAGATAGAGGTAGAGATTTTGGTGAGATGGCCGCCGTGAGTAAGAGCTGATCCACTGACTCTCATCCCTAAGGTATCTGCTTCTCCTTCCTGGCTCCTCCTTATGTGGGGCCAAGGTAACAGAGCACTGCACAGAATTCTCTGAATATTGGCATGGGCTAGGATGAGAGAAGATGGCAGCGAAGGGGCAGAGTCTCAGACTCAGAGCCAAGGTTGCTGGAGCTCTGGGTAAGACACCTAGTGTCTACGCCTAGGCTACTCTTTGTCTTTTCTATCTACCCGTTTCCCTTGGTAACAGCACCCCCAATTCTCCTTTGAGGAGAAAAGAAACAATAAAATGACTTTGGTGGCAGGGATATAATGGTGAGATAGAGCAGGAGGAAGAACAGGCCATCGAAAGAGAACTGGTTTCTTCCTCTCCCACCCTCCCCCGCTCTCACTCTTTCAACTCAGACTTCTGCATGTGAGTTGAGTCACCATAACCCTGAACTTAAGAGACTCGTCCGAAGATAGATACATACACTGTCAATCCGACAGAATTCAAATCAGATGTCGGGACTAGACAGTTTATAAGGAAATAGGACGTAAGTGTGAAGTGCTCTGTCTTTAACGTGACAAGAAGATAAATGTGCTTCAGAAAGATGCCAATAAAGCATGATGGAAAGCTGTGGTGTAGACTCTCAATAGCATCTCCAGAGTGCCGCATCCCAAGACATGAGACACCTGAAGATTCTGTGGCTCTTTCCTTTCTGTCTGAGGCCTCTTGCCTCTTGTTCTCTTACATTAGCAAACCCTAACCCTAATAATCTCACTGACCTGTCTAAACCATGCTTTTCTATAGTGTGTTCATCAAGACTGCAGTGTTCACAATTCTATGACTTAGCTCTCAGGTCTGGCCTCTATCTGAGAATCAGTCCTAGGATCCATCCACTGTAGTGGATAGGATAACGCCTATAATGCCTTGACCCTACACAAAGAACTATAGGTAACTGAGGAAAGTTGGAAGCTAAGGGAGGTGGTATCTTCCCCAGGAAGAGTAGACCAATTGATTGTCCAGTACCAAGTGATCAGCCCTGAAAATATAAATACAAGAAACATTTTATGGCCCAAACAGGTCATATGTATGAATATATTTGAATAAACAAACACATTTAATTCTGCAATAACTAGGTGGATGGAAGACAGATAAAGAAATAGTATGGGGGAAAAACCTAGCATGTTGGCACTCATCTTTAATCCCAGGCTCAGGAGGCAAAGGCAGGCAGATCTGTGAATTCAAGCCCACCCTGGTCTGTAGAGGGAGTTCTGAGACAGCCAGGATTATACAGAGAACCCCTGTCTAGAAAAACGAGAGAGGGAGAAAGAAAGGAAGGAAGAAGGGAAGAAAGGAGGGATGAAAGGAGGGAGGGAGGGAGGGAGGGAAGGAGGAAAGGAAGGAAGAATAGGAAGTCTACTCCCAAAATTGGAAAAGAATCTCATAAAATATAAATTATTAAAATAATTATTATTGGAATAATAATAAAATAGTTTATTACTTAGAAAACATTTTAAGAAGTGAAATAAATTGTAGCGCAATATTTTTCAAAAATGTGCTTAATAACCCCATCTTAAAATTCATAATAGTAATTATTTGTGGAATGGGAAATTTAAAATTTTTTAAATAGACATGAAACATTAATAGGATGGTTTTATTTCTTTCGGATAGATTATTACACGGTTGTAGTATTTTGTTTTGTTGAAGAGCTGAAGACGTTGCCCTGGCTGTGCCAGTGCTGTAGTACGGGTCACATCCCCAGCCCTATTACACAATTTTCACCCTGCTGCTTTTGGACTTTCTTATAATAATGATATTTCATAATAACAGAATCCAAGTTTGGATCAAAAGACTTCTAATAGATGAGAACGTTCCCAGCCAAACCACCCAAAGCAAGGTACAGCTAAATAGGTAAGTCCTGAGATAAGGACACAGGTGGGGCCACTCAGAAGAGCATACCTACCAACTTCAGATTGATCTCCATGAGTTCGTCCTCTGTCTTCTGGCGAAGGCAGTTAACCATGACAGCTGATGTGGTGGTTTTACACCCAGCAGCAATGGCAACTTGCTATACAAAATCAAAAGCAACCGCAGAGGTCAAGATCAATGGCCCTTCCCGCCATCCATGTAGATGGAAGGGTTTGCTGCCAGCTTCAATTTCTGAAGAAGGCAGGGAGTCCTTGGAAATTTTCTAGACCCACCAGCATGTGACCAGCAGAGGCTGACATCTGCTTCTAATTGAAATAATGGCATTATATCTATATCTCGGTTACTTAAACTTTAAAAATGGTCACATTGTCAAAGCAGAGGACTTAACACACATCAGTGAAGAGCAAGATGAAGAACAAGAGACCTTAAATTTCACTGTATGCTCACAACAACCTTCTCCACTCTCTGGTCATTTCCTTTCCATTTTTCTACCAATAAATAAGGGTGATTATTGCACCTGACTTGTAAGGAAAGCTAGTTCCAGTGAAGGAAGGTTTAATATCTCTATACATCATAATTTATAGGAAGCCTAGGCAGCACAAATTATATGAAGATATATCCAAACTTAGAGGACGTGGTTTGAGTGGAGCACTGCAGGCTTTCTGGCTCAGCCATTCTCATGTCTGGTATTCCTTGAGCATCTTTAATTTTGTCATACAACATATTCCAATTCCAGCTTCCCCTCTCCCAACTCCTCCCAGATCCTCCTACCTCCACACCTACCCCAAATTCACACTCTTTTCAGCTCTCTCTCGTGATAACATATAATAATACATCTCATAATAATAATAGTAGCAATAATGATGACGATGAAGAGGAGGGTTATAACAACAAATAGGAAAATGGTCAAAGAAAAGCGCGCGCGCGCGCACACACACACACACACACACACACACACACACACACACACACCTCCAAAAATGTTACTGGGTTCATTTTGTATTGGCCCCGTATGGGGCCTACCCTTACTAGTAGGTTGTATATTCAGTGAGATTCTGTCAGAGATCACTATTTTTTTTTTCCTTTTGTGAACAGTACTTTTTGAGGGCTCGTGTTCACTTCCTCTCTCTGCACTGGGACCTCATGTGGTTTAGACCTGAAACTCTAGGCGAGAAAGACTGTCAAGGACTCCAAAAGAGCAGAAGAAAGGGCATGGGAGCTGCCCAAGGTAGGTCTTACCTCAGCGATGGGTTTGCCATCTTTCATGACCATACCAGGAGTGAGGGCCACGCCACTCTCAGAAATGGCCCTGTGGAAGTAGATCGAGGCCCTAGGAACCAACATCTGACAGGAAGAAGAAGAGCTTGTATTCAAAAGAGTGGTCAGTGACTCTCTTGCCTTTGAAGTCTCCCTTTACCTGCTTCTTGGCCCTGGCTGTTCAGCCGGGAACTTTGGTACTTTGGTACACTATAGACACAACTGTGTATCCCAGCAGGAATCTCAGCTCCTTCTAGAGCTGAGTTCCTAAGAGAAACTGGTGTGGGACCAGAGTTTGGAGTAGGAAGCAGAGCAGAAAGTTAAGTACTCAATCATAACGACAAAACTATTGGAGTGTTAGCAATCCCTGACCTCAAATCCATTTAAGCATCTCTATTTCTTAGAATTAACCTTATGTAATGCTATTTTGAACCCCCCCAAAAAGAGCAGAGCTAAAGTTTTACCTCATATGCCCGAGGTTGTGGGCTTGAACCAAAGTAGAGAAAGGGAACAAAAATAAAAAGTATATGATAAAGGAGCTACAAAAAAGAAATCTAAGACTCCTTGTGATAATGGAAAATTTGTTCTTTTAATTTTTAAGAATTTTATACAATGAGTTTTATTTATGATATTCACCTCTCCTCTCCCAATTCCCCACTGGCCCACTCCTCTTCCCTACCTGCTCAACTTTTATCCTTGTCTTTTTAAACCCACAAAGTCCATATAGTCTTGAAGTCTGGAGCTTATTCTACCTACCAGGAGATAACCCCTTAAAACAGTGTTTCTCAACCTTCCTAGTGCTGCAACCCTTTAATACAGTTCCTCATGCTGTGGTGACCCCCAACCATAAAATTATTTTTGTTGCTACTTCAGAACTGTAATTCTGTTACTGTTATGGAACATAATGTAAACGTCTGTGTTTTCTGATGGCCGTAGGTGACACCTATGAAAGGGTCATTCACTCTTCAAAGAGGTCACGACCTACAGGCTGAGAACTGCTGCCTTAAGGAAAACTATCACTTCTTGTAATTATCAATTGCAATCGCTCCTCAGATAGAGGGAGAACTCCATGCCACCCTTCCCTTTGGTGCTGAGATGTGTCTGCCTTGAGCTCTCACAGGCCTTGTGCTTGTTGTCATGACTACTCTGAGTTAATATGTGCAGCTGCCCTGTCATGCTATCCATGTGTTGTCGTCACCAACCACCTCTAGCTCATACAATTCTCACACTTCTGCAATGATCCTTGAGTCTTGGGAGAAGAAGTATGACATAGATACCCATTTAGGGCTGCCGCACATCCTGTAGTCTCCTATTCTCTGCACCCTGACCAGTTTCACGTCTCTGCATTTATCACCATCTACTGAAAAAAAAAAAAAGATGCTTCTCTGGTGAGGGTTGAGAAAATGCACTAACCTGTAGGTATAAGGATAAATTCTTAGAGGTTACTTTAGTACTGTGCTCATTTAGCAAAATAATAGCAGTATGTTTGATGTGGGATGCTGTGAATATGTTTTATTATCATTGGTTAATAAATAAGCTAATTTGGCCAATAGCCAGACAGAATAAAGCCAGGTGGTAAATCGAAGCAGAGATATGGAGAGAAAGAAGGTGGAATCAGGGAGATGCCAACAACTGCCAGAGAAAGAGGATGTGAGGTAACAAGCCATGAAGCTTGAGGTAAAATACACAATAATAGAAATGGATTGGTTTAAGTTATAAAAGCTAGTTAATAATAAGCCTGAGCTAATAGACCAAACCGTTTGCAATTACTTTAAGCTTCTGAGTGGTTATTTGGGAACTGGTGGGTGAGAGAGAGCCCTTCAGTTATATATGTTCTCCCCTAAGGCCTGTGACTCATCTAGCTGTAGGCTCTTGCTAGAAAACTGTGCCAAGTTAACTCAAAATTTCATTATTAGGAGATTGGATAGGTAAAAAAATTCATCCTAACTGTGGAATATCATTCAATTATAAAAGATAATATTGCATAAGAGAATTTAATTCTTGGGGAAATGTTTACACCATATTACAATATTAAAAGGGAGTGGTTAAAAACTGTAGATAGGCGACAAAGAAAGGGTCCATAAGGAAGTGGAGACAGATTCAGGCAGAGTTAGGCGTGATGACGTGCCATAAATCCCAGCATGCACGCAGCAGAGGTAGGAAGTTTTTGTGAGTTCAGGACCAGCTTAATCTACATAGCAACTTTCTGGCCAGCTGGGATTATGTAGTGAGATCCTGTCTCAAAAAATACAAGGTAAGAGAGAGAGATGGGGATACAGAGAGGAGGGAAGAGGCATAAAATTTGAAAAAAACTAAAAAATATTTGTCAAATTTCCACACTGGCAATGTCTGGGTGGTGGGACACTGGATGACTTTATTTTTCAGGCTTCTCTGAAATTTAACATTTACTATACTTTAAAAAACACATTTCAATGTTTTTGTAGCTGCTAAACCACGGAACAAATACATGTTTGAACAATGAGGCCATAAGGATAACCCTGTGCTCCTCCCTGAGGCAGCCAAGGAGTTTCTTACCTCTCCCAACACCTTCTGCATCCCCAGTGTCCATAGCCCATTTCCACACCAACATGACACATCACTGTCCCCTGGACTGTGTCTGTGTCCCACATTCTCTGTTCTACTCTCCACTTGTCACGTGGCTCATTCTTCCCCTCAGCCACCCTTATCAACCTCTCGTTCCTCAAACCCAGGTGCTCTGCCTCTAAGGATAGAAAAGTCCTCATATCACCTGGAGGAAACCCTTGTCTGTTACCAAGTCCCCCCAACACAGAGACCTGTCTTGTAGCCATTGAATGACATTCTGCCTAACTCATTTTTTTTTTGCCTCTCCCTACTTGTATTCTATCAACCCCTAGTTCCCTAGACTGGTAACGTCCTAATGCTAAGTGATTAGCAAAGAAGAAGAGCATCTACAAGAAAAGATGGGTATGTCACCGGCACAGACAGAATTGGATGTTACTACATAAACCTCAGTGCTAAGCTTTCTGGGGTCAAGGAAAAGTTGACCCTTTGCTCAACACTATCTGATATTGTACAATAAGTAAATTGAACTCGAGAGCAAAAGTATCATGGCTGGATTGACTGGCTTCCAAGAGATCCTATTAGTGACCACATAAAGTCTTGGCATAAGGCCTGGTACCGGGGACACTTACAAGAACGGAGACACTTTCACCTCCTGCTGACTCTCCAAAGATGGTCACAGAGCCTGGGTCTCCTCCAAAGTTGACAATGTTGCTCTGAACCCAGCGTAATGCAAACAGCTGATCCTTGTGGCCCCAGTTCCCCCGGCTGTGTTCATCTCCTGTGCTGCAAGAAAATAGGGTGCAAGTATGGACAGATATATCACTACTGGTTCTAAAGACCACAGATTGACCAGGAGCTCAGCGTGAGCTTTCAGGACTAAGTCTTGTTCTGCATGCTTGACACAGACACAGAGGCCTCCATTGCCGCTAATCCTGATAGCATTGTTCTACGTGGGGCTTTCCTCTCCCAGAAAGTGTGTGCTGAGACATCATTATGTACCCCAGAGTGGTCTAAGACCTAGAGCACACCTGAAAACTAAACAAAAACTTCCAAAAATCAGAACGAGATGAAAAGAGAACATAATGCCATCTAGTGGGGGACATTAAAATGAGCAAAGGAGCTAGCAGGAGGCCTTGAGGAAAAAGAATGTAAGATTTCATGTCCATGGAGGGATCCTTTGAGGCACTGGCATTTAATCGAGGCCTGAATAGAATGAACACATCTATCTCAGAAGTTATCAAACAAAGGAAGCAGAGCCAAGTACAAAGGCCTCAGGGCCATGAGAACAAAGCTGTGTATGAAACTGGTGTGTAATGTGGGAAAAGTATGCACTGCGAGCCTTGGCTAGGACTTGTATGTCCTTGTAGACCTAGACCAAGTGGGAGCCCTCTTCAGTGGTAAGACATAACTCACTCTGACGTACATGTAATCAAATCATGATATTAGCAATATTTTAATAATAAATGGTTAAGATATCCAGGGCAAAGACATAGGGCTTTGATGAGTAGGAAGAAATAGATTCAAGATAGCTAGATTCTGAGCATATTTCAAAGGAAACCAAGAAAATTTGATATGGAACTAAATGAAGAGAGGGCAAGAAAGAAGAATCCGGTTTCTAGGAGGCCTTTCTCTCAAACAAAGGGGAAGGTGGAGCTGTCAGCAGCTATACAGGGAACCTTGGAGGAAAGAGATATCATTGTTAGGGAGATACATGAAGTCTACAGTTCCATGAACACCATAAAGGCATTCTGTAGACATCCCAGGGAAATAAGACAAGGGAGCTAAAGGCGAGTGTCTGGGGTTCAAGGGATAAGTGAGGGCATGGACTGCTGGAATCACTCGGAGCTTCACTGGGAAGGGAGACAGAGCTTCAAACAAGATGGTGCATAACCAAAGCCAGGAGAAGAATTCTCTCAAAGGGGCAGTAGCGACTGACTGTTGTGGCTGATGCAGTGAATCCCATGTGGTTAGGAGTACCAATGGAGGTCACAGTTGGCCTCTATGGCAGCCTGGAGGGCGGGGGTAGATGAAAACATGCCTGCAGGAACACTCACTAAGTTCATTCAGGAGACCGGCCCTCCTTTCCTTTCCTGCGAGAATACGTATAGTATTCGATCACAATTCAACCACTGTGCTATGCAGTGACCACGAATATAGAGGAATGCAGTGTGCTACCAGCATGAGTCAAAAGAGGTGAGTGTTTCAAAAGGGACAACACTAAGAGCGGGCCATAGAGAACACGTCAGGGCATCACAGGGTAGGGACCAAAGCAGGAGAAACAGTACAAACATTTGAGAGCAGATTCACAGGCATTGGCTGGGGAAGGAGGAGGTGGGTGAGGCTAATAATGAAGGGAGCAGATGCTTTTTGAAAGAGTTGAGCAAATGGCTCTATGAGAGATCCCATCACTATTGCTGGCTCCTAAAGTCTTTGAATCGGCAGCTGTTATGACTTAGATGTGGTTTGTGCTACCTAGGCTTATTGCCCCCCCCCAACGCAGCAAGAATATACAGTGATGGATCCTGTAATATACAAGTCCAAATGGAAGGTGATTAGGTCTTCAGGTACTGCACTTGGAAGGTATCTGTGAGAATGCTCTTATGGTAACAAGGCTCCTCTTTTTGGTTTCCTATATCACCATGATACATGTTTAGGTGTCTAACTGGAAGACTCCATGTTGATGCATTAACAGTGTGGCAGTGCTAATAAAGGGCCTCAGCAGATGCCACCATGAGGTCACTTGATCTTGGGCTTTGACTCTCAAAGAGCTAAATTCACCTCTTTGTTATTGTGTACCATCAGTATGAAACTGACCATTATGGGAGTTACTGTGCAGTCTCTGGTGACCTACCTGAGGAATCCCCAGATGCCCAGGCGATACTGAATGACCACCACTACCACGTTTTCATGGGCAGAGAGGGCCAGTCCGTCATAGGTGGATGCCCCACCCACCACCAGAGAACCTCCATGGATCCACACCATCACCTGCAGGACACAGCAGCAAGGACCATAAGAAGCAGAACTAGGAAGGCCGTTAGAAACTGTCTGTTCTGGTTGTCTTTTTCCCACCCTGACTGAAAAAGGCCAGTGCCCAAAGTCTGTCAGTGCCTAGCAAGGATGCAACAAAAAGCATCTTCTTCCATCTCCTCTCATCAGTGCTGGGACCACCGTCCAAGTTTATGTCTCCCGGGAGTGCATGCCTTTCACGCCCACCCTGAGCGTCATGTATTCTAATGTTCTTCACATTAATAGCACCACTGCAGGCACAGGAAGGACCAAGGATGTCCTGTTTTCCCAAATACTCACTCCCAGACTCTTCATCTACCTGAGTTTATACTCCATATCAGTTAACTCTGTAGTGATGGGTGAAATTACATTGTGTGTAGTGACTACCTCAAGACCCTTTTATTCCTGCTGGGATGTTTTGAATGAGAATGGCTCCCATAGGCTCATATATTTGAATGTTCGGTCCCTGGTTGGTGGAACTGCTTTGGAAGGATTAGGGAAGGTAGGATAGAAGGGAGTAGATACTTCACTGCACCTGAGTTTTAAGGTTTCAAAGGTCCATGCCAGGCCATGAGACTGTTTAAATAATATTATAACATTGCCAATAAAGAAAAACTTACAATTTGTGGCATATATCAAGAACTGACCTCCAAGCATTAGAAATGACTTTCTTATCCATTCTTGGTGTCATTCAATTCCTGGATTCTTCAACTTGAGAACATTGTAACCCTAGTTTATTTTATAATTGTCTTCATCATTTTTTTCTTTTTATACTATTGTTGGCATTCAGTGGTAATAAACGTACACTATCTCTCTTTTAATATATTTTACCTTTTGATTACGCTTTTAAAATGTTCTTTTGTGTCTTGTCACATTCTCATTATATAACCATGAAGGCATTTGTTCCTGTTGTTTCAACAACATTCTAAAGAGTAAGCTACATAACACAGAGATCACATCGATGATTCAGGGCAGTCGTGCCATGGTTTGAAAGGCTCTTACCCTTTCTGGGGCCACTGGTTGGTGCTGTCATGCTGGTCTTGCTTAGGCTTGGTATTAATAACCATGTAAAATTTGTGTCTTCTAGAATATGACAATTTCAAACTATATCCCTAATGATTCAGGGATTCCAGTCAACTTCTGTTACAGGAAGTTCAGTCTCCACTCCAACTGATAAAGTAGAGAAGAGTTTGAGATCTGTCTTAGGTGAGAACTACACCCCTCAAAGGCACTGGGAAGGTTTGAAAAGACAGATCAGCATCTTTCAGTCCCCCCAAAAAAGTGCTCTAGGGATCACAGCTCTCAGGGTGGGGAGATTAGAATAGAGAGGGGTGCTCCAGAGGAATCAAGATTGATAAATGAGAGAATCCAATGGCAGAGGAAAACTGGAAACCCTTCTGACCACGGGGAAAAAAACAGCCTGTGTGGAAGCCAAGCCCAGTGATCTTCAAATGCTGGCAAAGCCAGGCTGTGAACAACCATGCAAATGACTTATGAAAGAAAGATTGTCATGGCTCAAAGCCCCTGAACCTCAGACCCCTCCCAGCTCTCCAGCTCACTTCATTCTCAGCAGTACTTTTCATAATAAACTTTCTCTATTTCTATCACTATTTGTGTGTCCCTGATCCATCCTTTGTTCCAGAAATCAAGAACGTAGATGTCTTTGTAGGAGCAGTCTGGACACTAATCCACACCTATAATACTAGAAGGCAAGGCTGTGAGAATGGCCCATGAACCTCCTCTTACTGACCTCAAAATTGGCTGTGTATGGGGACCCTGAGTGCACATAGAAGATGAAGCATGCATGAGTGAGCTCTGTCCCCACTTCCTTGTGGTTTCAAAGCACATACAGAACAAAACAGGAATTCAAAAGTCACAACTTCTCCCTTCACTTGTAGGCTAAAAGCCAGCACATCTCAGGGAGGTCATGATACCCTGACCTCTTCCGCCCCATGAGTCATCTTCTGTTCCAGCAGCCCCTTCAACTTCAGCCTCCAACTAATAGCCAATCCCATTTCTGGTCCTTTATTTATTTGGAAAATTCTAACTCCCTGGGTCATCAGCCTGTGATGAGATGAGGAGGGAAATGAGCTGCAGCTAAGTCCCAGATGTTTGTCCACCATGCTTCTGACACTCCCCCTTTGCATCCTCCACACTGTCATAGGACAGAAGAAGGTTTTACATGTGATAGTTGTGTGCTGGGGAAGAGATAGCTGTGTGCTGTGGGAAAGCCTCATATAATGCTTAGCTCATGACAAAGACACTGGTTTGGTGATCAGAACACCCAATCTCTTGTCCTCTATCAGTAATGGTTGATGTCTTTTTTTCTTCAATTATTGCCTCAGTTTCTCTGTAAAATAAAAAGTTCATAATTTTTCTCTAAGATTCGTCCCAGATTTAATTTGCTTCAAATTATACCTACGCTGCTCTGAGGATTATGTTCTCTCTCTAGTAACTAAGACTAGTCACTGCCTTTCTGTTGGTGTCAGAGAACTTGAAAGAGCAAGGTATGCATGGCAGTCTCTACTACAGTCTGGTTGACATCTCTGGGACAGCATGAGGGAAGGAACACCTGCAGTCCCAATAGTTACAGAATGCTCTGGATCTCTGGACTAATCCAGGCCCATGGAGCCCCTGGACCCAGCTTCCTTCATCCTCCTCAGATTGCACAGAAAAGTCAGATGCTGGAAATCACAAGTCCAGATAAGTGGTCTCCATGCTTACCGGCAGCCTCATGTTCTTTGTCAAGTCGGCAGGAGTGTAAATGTTTAGGTAGAGACAGTCTTCAGAAAATCGGAGAGGGATGCTCTCCTTTCTGTTGGTGAAGAGATCATGGAGTAGTTTCCCTACCGTAGCATCTTGGGAGCACCTGAGAGGGAGAGAGGATATCTGAGGTCCACCAGACAGATACTGGGCATGTCACCTGGGGCTCAGCTTTGCCCCACGAAGCTTGAACCTGGAAATGAGGTAGGTATCAAGGGTAAGAGGGTCTTTGTGGTTCCCGAGGAACCCTGGGATGCTGTCGAGTCTCCTGAATCTGCAGAGGATGAGGACCTGGCACCACTCCTCTTCCTGGAGTTGTTCGGGCTGCCTTACTCCATGAAAGGAGCTGTTCACACACTAACTTGCTCTGGGAGATGTCACTCCCTGCTCTGTCTGATGGCCTTTCTTCTGCTAAGCTTTGTGGCCTACTTCTCTACCACATGAATATGATACAGTTCTTGAGCGTCTTCCATCAACCAGGAAAGCTACCTCCAATGACTCACAGCCCATGGCAGGTCAGGGGTCGTTTCTCTGTGGGGCAAAGAGCTGTGTTCTCATCCTGCCTCAGTGACTAAGGTGCTAGGTGACATTGGGTGAATTTCTTTCCTGCTCTGATTCCTAGTCTTCCAGGTACATATGAGAAGAATGCTGCCTTGTGGGAGCTTGTAGCCCTGGCCTGCTAAGTTTCTAATTATTCACCTGCCCCAGTAACCATTGGTTACTTCCCTGATTAGAGGTCTTAGAGATTAATCTCAGATTGTAACTTTTAATGAGAACTAAGTTCTCCTAGTTGGTTTAAATTGGCATTCGTTTAGAGTCCCTTTATGCAATAACTCATTTGAGCTCCAGATTTGCCAAAAGTGTGTTCTTTCATGTCCTCGATTTATAAATGAGAAAGGAGGGGCACAGGTTGATTAGAGAAACTGCCCAAGATATCACGAGCAGGAGGGAAGCATAGTATTTACATCCCAGGTAAAGGATAACCAACATCCCCTGAGTCCAATAGTCAAGTGGCAGGTTCTGAGATACTAGAGAGGAATTTCTGTTTTCCATCTTGGTGAGTGTGCCCTATGTCAACAATAGCAAGAGGAATAATATTCATAATGTGTTTTAATTTTTAAATATCAAAGAGGAAAAAGAGTTTAACATCACCAGTAATTTAGGTAACTATAACACAAAGATTTGATACTATAAATTATTACTATGATTTTATATTGCTGTTTTTCTTATTCAGTAACCACAAAACAAGCATTCTTTGATTAAGTCCAAACATTGGCAAACATCTGCTAACTAAAGACTCTTTTATATATCTGTGAAAGTAATGTGTATATTTAGAATATTTATGAAGGGAAATTGAGCCAAAAACACATATTATTTGACTCAGTAATGTCATTGCTGGGGATGAAATATTCATGAAAGTGTGTAATTATGTTGCTAAAACATATCCACAATATTCTTATTCATTTTGTCAAGCATATCAAAAACAACTCAATAACCCCCACAAAAGAAATTGAGTAAATAAACTATATTTCAATAGCAAAATTAAGACAGTTCCTTAACATCAGGCTGTGATAATTATGCTATGGAATGATGTTGATACTGATTATATTCTTATAAATGAATAAAGAATCAGCCACAGTGCCTCTATGTATAATCAGGAAGAAATTGTACCACAAAGACAAGGGCAAGAAAGTACAACAGAAAAGCCCTCAGTTCTCTTTAGGTTACGAAATGGGTGCGGTTTGTTTTTCTGTCTCCGCTTCCTGTATTTCCCAACAATTTTTTGCAAACTGCTTGCTTTATACTTGCAATCAAGAAATGAAAAGACTAAGTGTTGTCTTAAAGGGAAAGACACTTTAGAAGACCAAAAGAAGTGGGGTTCTGGAACCCTCCAGAAGATCCTGAGAAGATGGACAGCGTCTGAACTGACTTTGGCAGGTGCCCAAACTTCTTGGGGAGTGACAGTCAGACCACATGGCGTACCCAGCTTTCTTCACACATGGGCCACAGTCACAAGGAACGCTGACCACCAGTCAGCCTGTGACTAGTTAGCAAGACTGGACTTACAGTGAACCTCCATTATCCCTCACCCACATCCATTCTTCCCCAACACCAGCCCACCAACATTTAAGAAAGAATCTTACTGTTCAACTTCTTTATCTCATCAAAGCATTGAGCATATTCTAGCATATTCTCTAAATAATTTATTAGTTTACTTGTTGTCTCTTAACAGCAAGATTAATGAAGATAACTGTTTTCTTTGCTCATGGATTCAAACTCCCAGGGCATGCCTGACTCTCAAGAAGCACATGGTGGATACGGGATCTAAGAAACTGTGACAGTTCTACACTGGTTTAATTTCTACAGGGCTCTTAAGGACGCCAGACAAAACAGCTGATCACAGAACTGCCTGACGTCTTTCTGTGTCACTGAGAGAGATGTCCCTGTGGATGAGACCCAGGCCCACCCCAGAGGCTTACATAGGCGGATAGGAGGTAGCGTTTTTCACGAAGTACCAGGGCTCTGCATACTGTGGTTCAGCAAACCTCAGAGGGCCAAGAGGAGGCTTGGCATAGGGGACTCCCAGGAAGACGGCCACAGGCTGTGCGAATCCTTCTAAGGAGACGTACTTCCCCAGGACTTTGCCATGAGCAGTGTCCACCACGGGTGGTGAGGATGAGTGTCCTGCTGGACAAGAGAACATGAGGACACATCAAAGGGCAAAGACCAGACCTGGATTCCAGTTTTTTCATTGTCTATGCCTGTGACCTTGAGTAAGTCACCTCAACTCTCCAGGCCATGCTTTCTTCTCACGTAAAATGAAGAAAATAACTCTTAATAATTCATAAGAATGACAGAATGAATAAATCAGAACTGGAGGTATAAAGCTATTCAGGCAAAGTGGTTGTAAACAGAGAACTTCTACTGAACAAGACCTTCAGTGTCTCTCTCAAAAGCCTCCAGGAGCATTTACTTATCTATCGTGATCCCAGGGCAGGATGGGCGAGAGGGTGACCAGGAAGAATATCCCCTTGTCCCTGAAGGAATGGCCAGGAGGGGAAGAGCCACAGACACATTTGCCCTGGCTCTGGAGTGAAAGAGGTTTTATCCTGGGGAAAGACAGGAAGGGCTATAGGAGTCAGAAGGAGTGAGGCCTCCTAACTGGTGTGATCGTGGAGGAACTAGATATTTAAAGATGGGGAGAGAGGGAGTAAGGTAAGATGAGAAAGTGTATAAAACAGAGAACAGAGACTGTGTAACGACCCAGAGAGGCCAGAGCACAGGGCCTGGCTGGGAATGGTGGCAGGTGACTATGAAGCCACCAAGTGGAGTTCCATGAGGAGAGGAAGATGAGGAAGATGGCCCGGGGTGAGCAGATAGAGTCTAGCATTGGATTGAGATTAATTTGTGGTCAATAATATGCAACAAGTGTGCTGGAGGACAAAATATTTAATTCTAGAACTTTCCTCTGTTAGCTCTGAGCTGGGCCATGCTGAGAGTAGAGACTGGGTATCGGGCTTCTGGGTGCTCGTGACGAGATTATCTCAGGGAAAACAATGCTTCTTCGCTGCCATGCTTCTACCTGCAGGGAACACTGACTCAACCCCATCCTCTTCCAAGACTCCATTATGGTCACTCCTGACACGTCCTTGTCTGGCCTTCAGTAATCTAAGCATCAGGGTATCATTTGCAGGGAATTATATCCTGACTCCTGTCCTCCCAGTTGCTGTGGAGACAGGTAGATTGTCAACATCTCTCCCAAAATGTGTGGGCAGAGATGAAAACAATCTAGATTTGGCCTAAGAGAAGAATAGTCCAAGTATTAGACATGCTTTATGGGGGAGGTTTAAAGAACAATATCTGTACTTCTAATTCTTCTTGTTCGCTCTGAATTTTTCTTGTAATTTTTTATAATTAGCAATCGCTTGTAGTGACAAATATAGTAATGAACTACATTCCTGATGAAGAAAGTATTATGTAATATATGGACTGGCAGCATATACTGAGTAAGTGATTTAGTATAAATCGAAAATAAAAACAGTATCCAAGTCTCATAGTGCCCATGGTCAGTAACATGCTAAGGATATTCACGTTTTTTATGGTTACTGCTAATTTTTACAAATATCTTTCTTATGAACGTTCACGGAAAAAATGCCCAGTTAGTCCCCAGTTTCTGGTATTCTGATTTATAATGTTTTCAGTCTAAGATAGAGAACATCGCCCCACCAATAGTCTAAGAACACAATAGTTAATACCAGAAATTCTAAAAGGGAGGTGACAAATTCGTATGTCTGCTCCATGGTTACCACCAACAGTCCTGTATGTCTGTGGTCAGCATCCTAGAGGGGGGAATAAATTCCCTGAGGAGGAGCAAAGGAAGGACCATGAGCAGTTGTGGCTTATCTAATAGGGAGTGTACACAAGTTCACATATCGGGCACTTGCTGTGTGCCACGTATGCATTCCAGTTCTTGGCAGTTTCTCAATGCCTTGCCAGGTGGCTGTCAATATGCCCACTTAAGTGGTGAATGAGTGGGATGTGAAAGCAGCCTTAGGGAGCTCCTAAAGGCAAACATAGATTGGCATCGCCAGAGTAGCATCCCGCTCCAAATTTGGGTCCTTCCCAACTCTGCCTTGCGCTCAGATCCCAGCCTCTCATGGTGCTATATGTCCAGGAAGATGATTGAAATCCAGAAGAGGCTTGGGTTGCCAGGACTCTGATAGCTCACTAGCTCATCACCAGCTTCACTTGGGTCTCATAGCCTGGACCATCCTTAAGCGGTCCTGCTCACCCAAAACTGAACACCAGGAAGTAGAAGCAGCCTGTGTGCCCCCAAAGTCCTCTGAGATAACTCTCTATAGCCTGTCCTACACACCAATTTTTTTCTGTTTTTCCCCTTCCTTTCAGGAGAAACACAAAGGCCATTGCCCACCGTTTCTCCACCCCACACCTCCTGAATGACCTGGATGCCTATTGGCAGCACTCACGTCCTGGGTGGGTATCCTTCTCTAGCATGATCTAAGTGTTCTAGAAAAAAGCACCACTTTTCTCCTCACAACAGCCTAATAAGATAAGCATTATTACTACCCATATTTTAGAAATAGGGTCACCCAGACACAGAAAAACACCTGGCTAAAGGATGCACAGCCTAAAGCCTAAGCTAAATTTAGGCCCACATTCCAACTACTGGTCCATGCTTTCATATTCTACTAAAAAGAAAAATTTAAAGATCTATGTTAGAGATTTCATGATCCAGCTAGAAATAGACTGGGGATCAAAGGGGAAATAATCTGATCTCCCTGAACGGCCCTATGTGAATTCTGCCATAAGCACCGTGGCCTCCTGAGCCTGGCGCCTGCCGCAGGGTCTCGGGGACTGTATGGTCTTCTGTATCATCTCTCATGGCCAAGGCGGGTTGTACGTGACTGCCCCGAACTCAAGCATGTGCTTGGAGGATCAACTGTGCTACAGAACCAACCCTGTCATCCCCTGCAGTTCTGCCCACCTCTTCCCCGGAACAGGGCTTCTACATATTTGTGTGTCAGGGGACTCACCATTAGCCAGGCAAACAGGAAGTAAAACCAGGACCAGAGCGTGGAACCTCATCGTGGATGACAACCTGACAACCGTTCTTCCAGCTCTGACTTCTCTGTGCTCCTCTTAAAGGATGTTCCGTCTCCGCCCCGAGTCTCAAACTCCACCCCGCAGAAGTAGACCAACTACATCATCTAATGGAGCAGAAACGCCTCCCTCTTCCAAAGAGCTTCCCCAAAGTCCTTTAGGGCCACCAAACCATGTCTACCCTCCTTCATCTGAGCAGTCTGTAACAAGTGGCAGACAGGCATAAATACATCCAACTTTGTATATAAGACTTTTCCCATTGTAGAACTCCAGCCTCAGAGTCAGAGAGTGTCAAGCAATTCAGATTCTAAAAAAAAGGCACAATACTATAGAGTAACTTGAAGCCCCAACGTTGCTCAACTGGGGTATTAGGACACATCCCTTAGCTTCTGCGGTCTGGTATCTCCGATGGTTGTAGGCATTCAAGTTTGGATGTGGTCATACACTGTGGTCAGGCCTCTGCTGCTATGATTTCATCATTATGTGTCTCCCTAAGTCTTTCGTGTATTGAATTGTTGGCCCTACCTCATGGTGAAAGTGAGGTGAGTGGGTCATGAGGTCACCGACTTTTGTAACTTAGTGATCCTTTGATGAGTCCATAGCTGAATGACTGAGCTGTCAGAAGGAGGGACTTAGGGAGAGGAAGTGAGCTGCCAGGGTATGCTTTTCAGGCAGAAATCTTTTCCTTGGACTCAACCCTCTCCTCCACTCCCTCCCTTTTCAACTTTATATTTGGAGGTTTGCACCATATAAGCATACCATCTATACCCTTGAGTTTTCTTTAAATTTCATTAAGTGCGTTATTTGTTTTTTATTTATGTATTTATTTTCAAACACTCATTTCTATAAATGGAAGACCAGCATTACATGCAATAAAATTAAAGTATGGGAAATATATTAATTTACTTACAAACTAAATGATGGTAGGATAAAAAACAGTAAATGAGGAAACACAAACAACAAAATACTGTATTTACAAAACAATTTATACCTGAAAGCAAGCTACTTAATGCAGAAAGCAAACCACTGACCGTTACTTAGTAACTTATAGACTCTATCTGTCTTGACCACCATCACCAGCCAGGTGACAGGCGGTAGACTGGTCAAGGGTCACAGCCTCTGCAGTCATCTCCTGGAGCTTCAGCGAGCATGTGCTGCCAGCGCCTTGGCCAGATGCTCTATTTTATGTACACTTTCCAGGTTCTAGATTCTGGGCTGTACACTGTGGAACTCGTATTGATGTGACAAACACCATGACTCAAAGCAGCTTGGGGAAGAAAAGGTTTATTTCAGCTCATAGCCCCCATGCCCACGGTACAGTCCATTACTAAGGAAGTCAAGCCAGGAACTCAAGGCACAAATCTAGAAGTGGGAAGTAAAGCAGGGGACATGGAGGAACACTGCTGGGAATGATCATCAAGAATGGATGTTCGCAGCTTATACAAAGCAAGGCTCCTCTCTGGAATGTCTTCCACCATGGGGACAGCATATTGGACAAGCATGTTTCACTCTCTGATTTGTTCAGTAGTGGTGTTTAAAAGATGTTGAGGGACATAATGGGTGGTTGTTGTTGTTTGTAGGTAGCCCTAGCTCTCCTGGGCACTCTCTTCTAACTGTGCCCTACCATTGCAGCGCCATCTTTCCTGAAGTCCTCCCCAAAGCCAGGCGGATAACAACACTGTGCTTTTGAACCCATGACTGTGGATTCGATAAGCTTTTTCTCTTTGCGAACCTCTCAACCTCAAGTCCGTTATTGCAGAAGCAGGGGATGGACTAACATGATTCTCTGGGTTGTCGTTTGTTGTTTCTGTGTTTTGTTTGTTTGTTTGACGTATGTCCTGCAGATCAGGCTATGAACACTGTCCCCACAGGTTCTCACGTGTACTGTATCAACTTCACCATCAAAAGCACGTTCTCTCCTGGTCAGCCCCTACACCACCCTGCATGCTTGCCACCGAGCTCCCACAATGCCTTTCCTGGCAGGTCCCCTTCCTGGACACACCCTTTATACTCAAGCTCCAATCCATTCAAGCCAGCACTCAAATGGCAAAGTAGATTGGCTTTTTGGTTTTCTGTTGTTGTTTGTTTGTTTGTTTTGTTCTGTTGTTTTGTTTTTCCTGCACTTTCCTTCCCAGGGAAGAAATGAGGCACACTTAAATCAACTTTAATTGAGGACAAAGGTTATAAACAAACGGCCTCCCCCTCAACCATGGGAAAGATGTCTGGGGAACCACCAGGTCTGGTGTTTTCCCTGTGCAAGGCTGCGCACAGTTCCTATTCTCCCCCACCTCTGAGAAAGATCCAACGTGACATGCGTCTCAGGCCAGAGGCTCAGAGAGGAGAATTGGGCTTCTGACTTGAGCAAATAATCCACACACAGTCTGAAGGCCCTTCAGAGAACAGAAGGAAAGTCCAGGCTGGAAGGAAGGTCTGCCTCACCTGAGGAACGTCTCAGGAAAGCGCAAACACAAAAACACTTCAGACCTTGTTCAACCTCTGTTCTGCCCGTGAGTCTATCCTTTCCGGTCATGGATTACACCACTTCCCATGCTAAACACTACAGAGAAAACGAAGGACGTTAATGTTGTTCTTCCTAGTTATCTGTTCAGTATGCTTGTCTTCCATCCTAGAATCGCAAACGCTGCCAGGCGCCGCCCGCAGGAGAAAGCGCCTTTCCCTTGCTGCCGTGCTGCCATCTTGTGGACACTGCGAAATTCACAGGCCAAGACTGGTGTTCCGATCCTAAAATGTGATGCTGATTTGGTTTAGTGAAAGGGGTCCGAGATTGGGAGTAGAGGAGCTAAAAATACTTCCGAGTAAAAAGAAAACAAGTTATTTGTTTTAAAATAAGAAAGTTAGTGCATATTTGAGACTTGTATGATGATAGGAAAGCATAGATGGTGGGTATATGCTACGTTCTTGTATCGCTGATGAGAAGGAAATGGTGTGGTTCTCGAGGAGAGTGAACTTTCGTAGCTCACAAAGAGTAAGCTGAAAACGTCTGGCTTACACCCACCCATGTCCTTAAAATCCTGATTCCATAAACAAAGTTTTAAAATAAAAACGGTCATTACCAAAAGAGATCCTGAAGTGACGTTTCTAAAGCTTGGTGCGGAGGCATGGACCTACAACCCCAGCACTTGGGTAGTAGGAGCAAGAAGGGTAGGAATCCAACGTCACTCTCAGATATGTGTTGAGTTCAAGGCCAGATTAGGCTACATGAAACGCATCTCGAAACACCAAAAAATTTAAAACGAACCTATATTTATCCACGTGAGGACATTAAGGCAGACTCCTGGGGAGGTGATAACAACTGAGAAAGTCTACATAGACTGAGGGCAGACTCAGTGCTTCTTAATCATAGTGAGCATCGGATGTCTGTGAGCTGAAAATGCAGATGGCCAGGTCCGTGCAAACGTGTACTTCATGTGGCTGGAGACCGGTCAGCCACTGGATACCAGAATATTCACCCAAATGATCCCTCTCTACTCCTGAGAGGAGAACCACAGTCAATAGAAAACAAATAACCCCAACTTTGACTTATATATCAGCTTCCATTCCGCATTACGTAAGATTGCGTGTGAACAGGACGGGATAGGGCTCTGCATCTGGGCGACGTGGAAGTGCCACTAGAAAGACGCCTGTGGAGAAACCTATTTGAGGATGGCGGACCTGGGCCATGTAAATGAAGCATACTTACCATTTAATGTAATAGTGGTTTAATGCATGTGTGCTGCACATGTGTATTCACGTGTGTACATGTGTGGAAAACAACGGCAATGTCAGGTGTCATCCTCAGAAATGGAGCCCACCTCCTCTACGACAGGGTCTCTCATTTGCCTGAAGCTCCCCAGTGAGGATGGATTGGTTGGCCAGTGAGCCAGGGATCCGCCAGGCTCCACTTCCCTAGCACTGGGATAGGGTGCTCACCACCACACCCAGCATCTGTATGTCCATCCTGCTGCTCACACTTGGAAGCCAAGCACCCTATGGACTTAACCACTCCCCCAACCCTGTCACAGTCTTGCTTTGAATAAGTGCTTTCAAACTGATAGCTCTTCCAAATATCAACACAGGAAAGGGCTCTCCACAGCTGCAGTGGCTATGGACTTTTCCAACTCCCTTGAAAATGGCGTGACCTTTTCCTAGAACCAGAAAGTGACCCAGGCATATCTTTTCCTTTTCCACCTGAGCTAGAGCCAGACCACAATGCTGGATGTAATGGTCAGAGAGTACACATCTTGGTGGAAAGGGCCTTACTGTGGAGAAACCTGCTAGTTTTCTGGATGATATCTCCAGACAGTCTTGGGGAAGGTGTATCTTTCAGCATGAACCAAAGAGGTCCCTGGGTTCCCAACATATGAGGATGAAACTCTGTTGATTCCAGAGTTTGTTTTTAGTTTCTAGGGAAGTTGAAAATATGCTTTTAATATGAAGTTCCTCTGATAAAATTAGCCGCTACTAATTGCAAATCATTGTGTGTGTGTGTGTGTGTGTGTGTGTGTGTGTGTGTGTGTGTACTGAAGAAAACACTTCTGGGCCGTCAGAGTCAGTCTGTCGGTGGGAGATGTCTGAGCCAAATAAGCTCAAAGCTCTTGGCATCTCAGAAACCCACTTCCTCGTTGCACCTCACGTGTAACCCTGAAACAGTCAGAACGGTACCTGTGGCACGTTACACAGGTACTGTACGGATAGAAAGAGTAAGACTGTCATCTTTTTCTGAATAGCGGTGAGTAGAGCACACACCCACCTACCAGGTGGCCAAGCTGATTCCATCCTTTCTAGCATAAATATAAGCTCTCCAGAGAAAGCCTACAGCTTCACTCTAAATCAAGCTTCCGCTCTGCTAAATCTTAAAACACCTTGCCTCTCCCGAGTAGCCCTCAACAAACTTACACCATAAGATATTCAGAGGTGTGGCTCTTTCCCAGTACCTTCTTGCATGCCATTTGTTCATGACAGGACCCTTGGGGACATGTCTGGTAT